ACAAATATTCCTTTGAAAAAGCAATCTAATGCTTTATTGAATAGTTCAGTAAACAATATTTGTGTGCGGGTAGGAGATACAGTTGATCAACCGTCGTTTAAACAGCGGCAGGTATTAGATGAGGCGCAAGCGGGCGCGGGAGGAGTAGCGCCACCGAACGCACCAATCACGTCAACCGGTATAGCAATGAACATAGTTGAAAGTAATGATCGAGTCTCCCATCCATTAGTAATGGAAAAATCATATGCGAATATTGTTACCAATGAAGCATGGAAAAATATAAAAGAGACAGAAAATTGGACAATAGTGCAAAAAAAGAAATTGAAGAATAGATTTATGGGAAAAAGAGGTCAAGCATGTACGGAACCCAATGGAAAATTTCGAGCAGCGGATATAAAGATACCGCTATTTATCAATAATGTTGACAAGAATACATTACCGGATGACATTGCTACCTATATACTGCAAAAAACTAACGTGCCTGTAACTCTAGAAAAAATTAGCATGAAACTACAGAAGGAATACGATGCATACAAAGTATACATACCGCGGAGTAAATTTTCTATCTTTATGGATGCGGGTCTGTGGCCGGATGGTATTTCCTTTCGTCGATTTGTGACTTTTAAAAAGACACTCGTAAAAGGTGATAAGATATAATTTATAAAATAAAAGTGGATAATACAACACAGTTATCTTTTATATCATTTAATTGTAAATCTGCGAAGCGATCGGCAGAATGTATAAAATCCTTGTGTGAGAGGTCCGATATCGTCGCTTTGCAGGAAACTTGGCTTCTTCCCCATGACATACATTTTTTGGACAGCATACATGATGATTTTGGATACACTGGAAAGTCTTCTGTAGATACTTCAGTGGGTATACTTCACGGTAGACCATTCGGAGGTGTCGCAATTTTATGGAGAAAAAGTGTTTTTAATTCGGTATCGATAATTAATAGTGAAAACTCGCGAATAACAGCAATTAAAGTGGAAACTAGTGATAAAGACATGGTCATTATGAGTGTTTACATGCCCACAGATAATAGTGATAATTTAACGGAGTTCACACATTGTTTGGGCGAGATTTGTGCAATTGTTGAAAATAATGATGTGCAATCTGTTTTTATTCTGGGAGACTATAATGCGCACCCAGATGGACAATTCGGTAAGGAACTTTTAAACTTTTGTTCGGAACAACAGCTGATCTGTGCGGATATACAGAAACTAGGTTTACAATCGGACTGTTATACATTTATTAGTGATGCACATGGAACGAAAAGATGGCTAGATCATGTTCTAGTAACACAAGCTGCATGGGCATCCACTGTTGATGTAGACATACTGTATGATGTTTACTGGTCTGATCATTTCCCTATTGAAATAAAATGTAATGTAAATCTTTTAAAACCGAAAGTTTCCATTAATAAATATGTTTGTAATAAAGTAGTTTGGGGTAGTAGAAACAATGAACAAATAAATATATATAATAGTTTTTGTAATGAAAAATTAAAAAATATTGATTTCCCAGAAAAACTAATTGGCTGTTGTGATGGATATTGTAGTGACTTAACTCACAGAGATATAATAAATCAATTGTATAGTAACATAGTGAACATATTATCAGAGGCTGCAGTCCGAAGTCACGACAGGCCGGTGGGAGTAGGGGGGCGAAGACGGATATCTGGGTGGAATAAATATGTTAGGGAGGCACATAATGAGGCGAGAATTAAATTTTTAGTATGGGAATTATATGGCAGGCCGAACGTGGGTGTTGTGTATGACGAAATGTGTGAAAGTCGTAAAAGGTTTAAAGGTAAATTAAAATGGTGTCTCAATCACCAAGACCAGATAAAAATGGATGCATTAGCTCTTCACCGGTCCAACAACGACTTTGGTGGGTTCTGGAGAGCTACAAACAAGTTGAGTGGTAGACCCTCTATACCTATTAGTATTAATGGGATTAAGGACTGTAAACAAATAGCTGATATGTTTAAAAATAACTTTAAGGTGAACTCATCTCTGCCTCCATCACAGTCAACCACCAACATTTTCAGTGAGGGTGTGAATAGTGAAGTGCATAGATTTACATCTGAGGATATTAAAGTTGTTATAAAGAACATGAAAAAAGGAAAGTCCCCGGGATATGATGGTCTCAGTTTGGAACATTTTCAGGCAGCAGGAGATCACTTGCCTAGGTTACTTTCAATGTTATATACATTTTGTATAGCGCACACATATTTGCCAGACGATATGCTAAAAACGGTTGTTGTACCAATAGTTAAGAATAAAACGGGAGACGTATCAAACGCGGGAAATTATAGACCTATATCTTTAGCAACAATAACTGCAAAGGTGTTTGATTGCTTGCTTGACTCACAACTCAAACGACACCTAAACCTGCATGACCTGCAGTTTGGTTTCAGGCAGGGGGTGTCAACAGAGTCTGCTATTTTATGTCTCAAGCACACAGTCAGATATTACACAGAAAGATCTACTCCTGTCTATGCCTGTTTCCTTGATTTAAGCAAGGCTTTTGATATGGTGTCCTATGATGTTTTATGGAGTAAGCTTAAGAATACTACTCTACCCGTAGAATTAGTAAAGATTCTTAGGTATTGGTACAATAACCAATGCAACCAGGTGAAGTGGAATAATTCTCTGTCTGACCCATACCATTTAAAATGCGGAGTGAGACAGGGTGGGCTGACCTCACCTAACCTTTTTAGTTTATATGTCAATAGTTTAATAGAGGAGCTCAGCGGTATGCATGCTGGTTGCTATATCGATGGACTTAGTATCAACAATATAAGCTATGCAGATGACATGGTATTGTTGGCCCCCTCAATTGGAGCTTTAAGGAAAATGGTAGCTGTATGTGAATCGTATGCAGAAAGTCATGGATTAGTTTATAATTCTGTCAAGAGTGTGATTGTAGTGTTTGCATCTGGAAGTAAAAAACCGGATTATGTGCCTCCTATATCACTCAATGGGAATATATTGAACCTTGTTTCAAATTTTAAATATCTTGGACATATTGTTACATCCACATTAAAAGATGATATGGACATAGAACGTGAAAGAAGAGCATTGGCAGTTAGAAGTAATATGTTGGCACGCAGGTTTGCCCGGTGTACAAAACAAGTCAAAATAACACTTTTTAAGGCATTTTGTCAGGTTTTCTACACTGGCGGCTTGTGGGTCAACTATACTCAAAAAACCTACAATGCTCTTCGCGTTCAATATAACAATGCCTTTCGGGCACTGTTGGGACTGCCCCGCCACTGCAGCGCGTCACATATGTTTGCGCAAGAGCGCACAGACGATTTCTATGCTATACGGCGGAAGCGAATAACGTCCCTATTAGGCAGAGTGCGGGCGAGTTCCAACAGTGTCCTGAAGACAATTGCTTGTAAAGTAGACTGTCCCATTCTAAGACACTGGGTGGGACAGGTAATATGTTAAAAGTTACATTTTTATTTTATTATATATTTTATTACTAACATAGGATAAGTTATGTCATTAAGCTGTTACTAACACAATGGATCATGTTGTCTGAAACAAAATTATTATTATTATTATTATTATTAGTAAGTTTATTTGGTAGTGTGCTACATGGCTTATTAGTGACGCGTACATTAACTCGAGTTAGGCATAAATTTAAAAAGAATAAAAAATTCAAAAATTTAAAAGAGCAACACGCAAGTTTCTTGCTCGTTCTTCTTGTGATGAGACAGCTTTCCGAATGAGCGGTAGATTAAAAAAATGTAATGACTATTCAATAAAATTAAGTTTATTTGAATAAATGATTTTCTATACTATTCTTATTCTTGTAGGCACAGTCTCACGAACTGTAATATTTTTATTTCCCATTTTGCAATGTTATTAAATTTAATAAATATTTTATGTTGTACATATCTAGTCTTATTTTTATAATAAAGACTAGCTGTCCAGGCAAACGTTATTTTGCCTAAAAATAAAAATAGAAATTTAGGGGTGGACTACCCCTAACATTTAAGGGGATGAAAAATAGATGGCCGATTCTCAGACCTACTCAATACGCTCACAAAATTTCATGAGAATCGGTCAAGCCGTGTCGGAGGAGTATGGAAATGAAAACTGTGACACGAGAATTTTATATATAAGATTATTATTTTAAATTTAGATTAAAGCAATGACCACCATTTTAACTACATTTATGTCAAAAGAATCAAATCAGCAATCGTTAATAAAATAATTGAAATAGCGCCATCTGTTGATAAATATAACAACTACAATAACTTGGGAGTACACCAATACCAGTGGGGCACCATTCATAATATAGATGGCGTTATTCATCTAATTTCTAATTGGTCTGTAACGTTCTAAACACATAATATCTATCAAGATATCGCTCAAGATGTAAGAACGAGTATATTTTAATAGTCATTTATACATTCCAAAGATCCATAATTTGCAATAGAATTCAACGCAGAACAGCCATTTCGAAATCTTACCATATAATGCCTGCGAAAATAAAGTCGCTGTAATAATGGAAATGAAAAAAAAACTCTTATGTTTAATATTAATAAGTGTGTGCAATAGTCAGGAAATATCTTCTTATATATAAAATTCTCGTGTCACAATGTTAGTTACTATATATACTCTTCCGAAACGGCTTGACCGATTTGCATGAAATTTTATAGGCATAATCTGTGCGTCTGGGAATCGGCTACTATCTATTATTATTCATACCCCTAAGTGATAAGGTTTGTCACCCCTAACATTATTTTTTGATGAAATTTTTGTCTGTCTGTCTGTTTGTTCCGGCTAATCTCTGAAATGGCTGGAACGATTTTGACGGGACTTTTTTGGCAGGTAGCTGATACAATATGGAGTAACTCAGGCTACTTTTATTTTAGAAAAATAAAGTTAGTTTCTACGCGGACGAAGTCGCAGCAATAGCTAGTTATAACATAATATTACAAATATGTACCAATACATATGATTTGTTTTAATTTCCAGGATTTCGAGCCTGTAGCCGTACCAAAACAGCAGTATGGGAATTTCTACTCCGGAGACTCATATATTGTCTTAAAAGTAAGTATAGTTTACATTTACTGAAGAACTATTTGAACTATAAGAAAAACACACATATACACAAAAACACACATAAACGGACGCTCATATACCCAGCCTACACGCAAACTTTACCTTTATTTTAGTTATTATTATTCTTTGTAAAGTACCGATATAACATTGGTTAATTTTGTACGTCGTTGAACCGGAGCCTGTTTTAAGTTAATGTTTTTGTAATTAAGGATTTCTGATTCCTGCGACACAAGCCCTGAGCTTAGTGCAGGGATTGCTGTTAATTGTCTTGTCTACAACCATTGATGTAATGTGTACAAATAAATAAATATATAAAAATTTCTTTTTTATTTTCTACCATTTGCATATTACTTTGTCATTCTTGAAATAAACTAAAGTCTTTGTTTTTGTATTGATCAAAAACAAACAGATAGTACATAACCTTAAAATACATAAGGCATAACCTTGAAACAGCGCAGTTTGATGTGGTTTGACTTTTAAAAACTACTGTTTTTATATTTGTGCCTAGCTATTCGCCCCGGCTTCGCACGGGTGTACATGTATTATATATATGTATAAACCTTCCTCTTGAATCACTCTAATACCGCTTCAAAACCCGTTGCGTAGTTTTAAAGATTTAAGCATACATAGAGACGGACAGACAGCGACAGCGATTTTGTTTTATACTATGTAATGAAGTAGTTAATCTTATTAATATTATAAACTCGAAAGTTTGTGAGTATGGATGGATGTTTGTTACTCAAAACTTTCACGTGAAACCTACTGAATGGATTTTGATGAAACTTTACTGTAATATAGCTTATACATTAGAATAACATATAGGCCATAAATTTCATGTCTGTGAAACTACGGGCACAGCTAGTAGTTAATAATTTTAGCCGAAAATAATACATTTATTGTAAGTTGGAATAATTATTAAACGTTTGATGTTATCACTCTTTGATAAGGCAAATAAAAGATTAAAAAGTTTGCCGCAAATTGAACCTCACTTCAAAGTTACATCGCCCATTCGATCCCGACCTGTCAGAAACGCAAACCGAATAGCTGTATGGGTGCAGTTCCTTTGCCTTTCCGTTAAACGATAAACAAAAATAAAAAAAGCAAACTCAGAACGGTCAAACTGTATTCTCCCTTCACAGACCACAGGAAGCAGTCCCAACTTCAACTGGGACATACACTTCTGGTTGGGCACAAAGACGTCCCAAGACGAAGCCGGGACGGCGGCCATTCTGTCTGTAAATTTAGATGACAATCAATTCCAAGGCGCCGCAGTACAGCACAGGGAGACCCAGGGCCACGAGTCTAAGGAGTTTTTGAAATACTTCGAGCCAGGTATGTTATACTAATGCCTTTACATAGTAATCAGAGATGTTAAGGAGCTCTGTAACCGTAACCGAAACTATCGGATATCCGACATAAAAATATCCGTAACCGTAACCGAAACTATCGGATATCCGATATAAAAATATCCGTAACCGTAACCGACACTATCGCATATCCGATATAAAAATATCCGTAACCGTAACCGAAACTATCGATATCCGATATAATAATATCCGTAACCGTAACCGAAACTATCGGATATCCGATATAAAAATATCCGTAACCGTAACCGACACTATCGGATATCCGATATAAAAATATCCGTAACCGTAACCGACACTATCGGATATCCGATATAAATATATCCGTAACCGTAACCGAAACTATCGGATATCCGATATAAAAATATCCGTAACCGTAACCGAAACTATCGATATCCGATATATAAATATCCGTAACCGTAACCGAATCCGAAATAAATATTCGGACTATATCGGATAGGGGCGGAGCCTTTGAGACACGTGATGTAACCGTTTTATTAGATATTTGTATTTTACTTTTGAAATTCCTTAAGGGGGTCTTCCTATGTGATGGGTTGAAAAAATCGATTTTTTTTTTTCATAAATTGCTCCCTTAACATGTCTAGAATACGGTAGTAAAGCGATTTTAGAAAATTCGAAGTCGTTTTAAAGATACAGCAGGTAAAAGAAAGAGCGGTTCGGAGCGGTGAGTTGGCAGTTAGAGACCGGGCCTATTGTGTACCGTCGGCTTTATACCTGGCCTCCCTTTTATTAATATATTTGTTTATACAAGTTTAGACACGTTTCTACAGACTTAAACAGAAATTTCTATTGTTATAATATTTTACCGAAGTTATTTTAGTCTTGGTTGAACTTCGAAGAGAGCAACAGCTACAAATTATTTTTTTTCATAATGAGTGGACGGAAAGGAAGTACGAGTGGAAATGTTCATCCTGGTCGTAGTAAAAAAAGAAAGTTTAGTGGAAACCGTTTTACCCACCAAAATGATACGGTATTTACATCAGCTTCGGCCAAAAAACTTAAAAATAACATGAACATGAATGTTCCCATCGCTTCGAATTTCGCATATTGCATTTTGGAGTTTGTTTCTGTATTTGCTGCAATCTCTGAAATAGTTATATGTAAAACTTGTAAAAGTGACGTGTCTATTTCGCGATCAAGTTTCCGAGGCCTAGGCTTTAAAATTATTTTATCGTGTGAGTGTGATTTGGACTTTCGCTCCTAAACATCTTCATTCTGGTCCCAAAGTTGTTGAAATTGCTAGCTACTTAGCAGTTATTATCTTTAATGAAGGTTTTCAAAGTATTTTAAAAGTTATGTCGATTATGGGATGCCCTGTTGGTCGTGAAGCCCAAGCGTATGTTGAGAAACGGGATGAAAAGCGAATCTTACGCTCTGAGCGGCGCGTAAGTGATGTCGTTAAACAAGCCAGGATTGACTCAAGAGCTGAACAATCTGCTTTAAAAGAGTTTCACGAGGAAGAGGAAGGAATACTCTATGGACCAGGCATCGCCGATTGAGAGTAAGTTGATATTTTAATAGTTTTTAACGGACTTGAAACTTTAAACGCGTTTTTCTCAAAACTGTGTTTTTCAAACTTTCCTCCATTGTATCTCAGAAACGGCTGGACCGAATTACTTGAAATTTACAGGGCACACTCAATATATGTAAACGCATGGAATGAACTATTATCAATCGAAAATTTTCAAAACTTCGATTTTTTTATAGCAAAAAACAAAAAAAAAAAAAAAAAACGCCTAATTTGCAACTTTTATTTCAAATGTCTATAAAAAATCCAATTTTTTTTATATTCATTTGATTATAGGTCATTCCGTGCTTTTAAGCCTACAAATTAAAACGCCGTTTTTTTTTTTTTTTCAGATAAGCCGATCAGCCGGAATCGTGGAGGAAGTGGGAGCTCTTTTTTTCGAGGCGGGGGTGTTCAGAGCGCTGTAACTCTAGTTTGACTGAATATTTTTAGCTGAAATTTTATATTTATACTGTCCAAATTGTGTTAATAAATGATAAAAAACTTGAAGCTCTAAATATTTACTGGTCGTAGAAAAAAAATCCTAAAATATCCCTAAAAAACAGGCCGTCACATAGGAAGACCTCCTTAAAACATTAATATTCGTAACCGAAATTATCCGAAACTAAGGGATAATCCGAAATAATTTCATATCCGCATCCGTATCCGAAATTTCATATCCATAACATCCCTGATAGTAATAATAATAATAATCTCAGAACAATTCACACAGCGGCATCTAGACCCAAGTTAAGCTAAAGCTTGTGTTATGGGTACTAGATAACTATTAGATATTAATACATAAATATTTTTGTGCGTAAATACATATATATTATACATAGACCGATACAAATAATCATACTCGCGAGTACAAATGTTTGCCGTGTCAGGAATCCACTCTGCGACCATGGGAAGTAAGGCGTTCTGCTAAGCCGCTAGACCACCGAGGTCTCGCACGGTGTATGTAAATGTATTCATTGTTTGTCTGGATGTTTCTTTTTGTATATATTCTAGCTGTTCCCGCGACTTCGTCCGCGTGGAATTTAACTTTAGTTTTCTAAAATAAAAGTTGCCTAAATTTCTCTTTATTACATCAGCTACCTGCCAAAAAAAGTCCCGTCAAAATCGGTCCAGCCATTTCAGAGATTAGCCGGAACAAACAGACAGACAGATAGACAAAAATTGTAAAAAATGTTATTTTGGTGTATGTACCGTATTTATATTCATATGCATGTAGTAAAAAACGGTTATTTCAATATTACAAACAGACACTCCAATTTTATTTATATGTATATCTCCCTTTGTTGGGGTGATAACTGATAAACTTGTCATTATTATTATGATTACTATCAGCTATCCGTTACTTGGACGGCGGCCACGCGTCGGGCTTCAGTCATGTAACAATAAACGCTGGAGCAGAGAAGAGACTCTTCCAAATCAAAGGCAAGAAGAACGTCAGAGTGAGACAGGTATATATATTCTTCTTTTTTATTTATTTACTAGCTACTCTCCCCGGCTTTGCACGGGTGTATTATCATAAAACCTTCCTCTTGGATCACTCTATCTATTAAAAAAACCGCTTCAAAATCCGTTGCGTAGTTTTAAAGATTTTAGCATACATAGGGACGGACAGACAGCGACAGCGATTTTGTTTTATACTATGCAATGATTTAGGCAATCAACAGTTCATACAATATAGTATTACATAATTAGTAAAGCTAATAACAAATTCTTCATGAATTTATTGAAAATGTGTGAATAGACGAACATCATCATCATCATCATCATCATCTACTTCTTCCTTATCTTGTTTATTTGTACTATGTTTTTCTCTTCCATTCATCGCTGTTCGCAGTCATTTAGTAATTTACTCCATTTCTTCTTTATCCCATTTGTTTGTGGTCGTCGTAATATGTTTTTCTCTTCCATTCAACCCTGTTCGCAGTCATCTCGTTATTTCTTCCCTTTCTTACCATATCGTCTTTACACAGTCCATCCATCTCTTTTTCGGATAAAAGTTTAGTTACATGGAAATTCGTCATTTTTGCAGCTAGAACGATGAAACATTTTAGGTAGAATATTAAATAATAGCAGCCGTTCAAATTTACTTTAAATTACGTAAGCACTATGGAGGGTCTTTACTTTGTTTATTTTATTTTTATTTATTCATTTATTTCAGGCAACTATTATAAATACCTTATAGACTAACATACATGTAATATAATATTTAAAAACTAATACAATGATATTGTCTGTGTGATGACGGCACTGAAGACGGCAATCTGCCACGGTAGCACCGATATACCACACCTTTCGGCCAGTAGTCCTCTTTCATGAAGGTGGGCAGCGAGTCGGTGGGGACCAGGGCCACAAACGCTTTGAAACTCGCGTTGTGACTCGACTTCAGCTGCGTTACCCTCAACTAACTATAACTATTTTGGAGGGGAGTAGTTAAAGGGCCTCTTACAGCTAGTAATAAATAAATAAATCAACAAAATTACATGATTTCTTTCAGGTGGAACCATCAATAGACTCGATGAATAAGGGAGACTGCTTCATCCTGGATGTGGACCATACCATCTACTTGTTCGTTGGAGATCAGTCCAAGAGTGTTGAGAAAATAAAGGCTATATCGGTAGCTAATCAGATCAGAGACCAGGATCACAATGGAAGAGCTGATGTTGAGATTATTGGTAAAGTCAAATTAAATCAAAAATCATTTGTTCATGTAGGACATTTTATCATCATTAATGTCAAAGTTTTTCTTTAGTATTCAATTCATTGTTGGATAAAAAAGTTTGCTTACTTCCCGTGTGTAGTTTTTTTATGGATAAAGGTATGGTTCACCCTCCAAAAGGTATACGCTGGCGGTGCACCAGTTGAGTATGATAAGATGAGCATGAGGTCAGGTCAGTTAGACCATCATGACAAATTCATCACGAATTGGTCACGATGGTTTCCAGGGAGAATTGCGTGGATGTCAACCTGACATGGTACATTGGTAGCAATAAGATCATCAGTCCACATTACTAACAATCCCCTGCAAAGCTAGAAGCTTGAAACTTATTTTTTAGGCTGTTGACTTGTGTGGAATTCTGTATGGAAATTCATCATTTTTTAAGTTAAAACGATGAAACTTTTTTATTTGGAAAATCCAAATAAAAAATCGTTATTAAATATTTTTGAATTATACGGTCAAGATTACTACTATTTACGACGAAAGTCGCGGGTACAACTAATTAATAATTACACTAGTCATAAGTGTCTGTACGTACATGAATATAGTTTGAGTTAAATCTATATTTAGTTGACTATATTTGCCATTCCAGATCCATATTCATCAGGCTCTGATACAGAGAAATTCTTCACCGCACTCGGTTCTGGTGATTTGGACTCCGTGTCGGACGCTTCTGAAGGTGGTGATGATGAGGTAATTTTTATAATAATAATAATAATAATAATAAGTATAGCCATCCCAAACACACACAATATACAAAGCGCAGTCAATGAAAAACTAACAAAGTACACAGATCTAGCAATAGAATTAAAAAAACAATGGAAAGCAGACACCATCCACAAAGTACCCATAGTTTTGTCATCCACAGGAATGATACCAAAAAGTCTGAACAAACAAAAAGCCTACAAAAAGCCGTCATACTAAATACATGCCGAACAGTAAGAAAATTTCTTTCTTCATCACATAACTCATCCATGCTTGGCTAAGGCCCGCGTGTTTGAATATATTACCCCCGTCAAAAGGGAGATATAATATATATATATAAAATAATAATAATAATATTACACAAACTGACTATACACACAGACAACCAAATAGCCAACGTTATTCACCAAAATTTAGCACATAAATACAAATTAATACAAGATACAAAAACCCCGTACTACAAATGTACACCCTGTTAGAAAATACATCTCATAAACTATATTACGATCGTGCTATACTTACTGATAAGACTATTCATTACAACAGACCAGACATAATACTACAAGATAAAGTAAATAAAAAACCTACCTGATAGATATTGCAGTTCCTAATACCCACAATCTCCAGAAGACAATTGCTGAAAAAATAAACAAATATGCAGAGCTAAAGAAAGAAGTAACAAGAATTTGGAAACAGGAAAAAGTTTATATAATACCCATAGTCCTCTCATCTACAGGTATCATACCCAAACACCTACATCATAGCCTGAAACAATTAAATATACAAAAAACACTTTACATCACCCTTCAAAAGGCTGCCATCTTAAATACCTGTCGTACAGTCCGAAAATTTCTCGAAATAGATGAAAAGGATATAACAGCAGTCACACCAGGCACACAATAAGTACACACACACTCACACATACACACACGCGCACACACATACACACTTACTTGGTTTCGGCCCGTAAGTGTGGAGAAAACCAGCAAAAGCTGAGAAAAAAATAAATAATAATAATGATAAAGGAAAATGTTTATATAATACCAATAGTCATCTCATCCATAGGTATCATCATACTAGATCATAGACTGAAACCATTATTCATCATTCGGTCATTGGGCTCCCTAAAATATGATCGAGCACAGTGATGGCTGGCTCATACGTCATACTCGTGAACGAGTGCTGCTTGTAGGGACTGGTCTGCTCATATCACTACGACTGATTTAATCTTATTGTGTTTTTATATTTGAGCCTAAATAAATTAGTGCTGGTTGGTAGTTTGTATTCACACGTTTCGACTTGTAAAATGTGAACTTACAAGGATTGTTTAAAAGAGCAACACACAAGTTTCTTGCTTATTCTTCTTGTGATGAGACAGCTTTCCGAATAAGCGGTAGATTTAAAAAAAAATGTTGACTATTCAAAAGTGCTTAAAATAAGTTTATTTGAATAAATGATTTTCTATTCTATTCACGTAAATTAAATGTTTTTAAATCTGTCCCGACAGGACTTCGAACGTGGTGAGGTTCAGGAGGTGTCCCTCAGTGAGATCTCTGACAGCAGTGGCACCATCAAAGTGACCAGTCTGCCCAAACCCTACCAGCGGGAGCAACTCAACACCAAGGTTGGTATTTGTTTAATCATTACCATTACATATTATAAAACAAAGTCGCTGTCTGTCTGTCCCTATGTATGCTTAAATCTTTAAAACTACGCAACGGATTTTGAAGGGTTTTTTTTTAAAGTACTATTGTGGCAAACAAACATACGGCCCATCTGATGGTAAACGGTTACCGTAGCCTATGGACGTCTGAAACACCAGGGGTGTCATGTGGGCGTTGCCGACCCTTAAGAAACCTTAATATACCCTTCTTGAAAAACCCCATGCTGTAGTCTCGTGGGAAAACCTCTGCAGGAAGTTCATTCCACAATATAAGTGTACGCGTGTTTTTAATGGATAGAGCGATTCAAGAGAAAGATTTTATATTAGAGATGAAACGGATATCCGGTAACTATCCGGTATCCGGGCTATTCGGCGGCCTTAATACTGTACCGAATAGCCCGGATAGAAATCCGGCCGAATGAAAAAAAAATCTGGCTAAAAAATTTTTTTAAAATAATTATTTGCTTTATTTAGTTAGTCTTAGTATTACATAACGAATAAAATCAGTTTTAGTTTAAAATTTTTAATCACTCGATAGTAAATAATAATAATAATTTTATTAATTAGACAACATGATCCATATATGATTCGACTGTTATAGAAAGAAAATGAATTTTCATTAGTTTACCCCCTAAGTTTCAGGCGTTCATAGGATATCCATCAGATGTTTCCCATCGTAGTTCTCTAGTTTATATATATAATACATGTACACCCATGCGATGGCGGGATGAGTAGCTAGTTAGTTAAATATATACTGTTTTACTTACTGTATTAAAAAAATTGTGAATGTTTCAGGAATGCTACATCTTGGATACCGGTAGTGGCGGAGTTTATGTATGGGTTGGAAGGGAGTCTAATGAGAAGGTATGACTTCATCCCATGACGGCCTCGTGGTCTAGCGGTTTAAACACCGCTTTACGACCGATGGTCGCAGGTTCGATTCCTCGCACGGCACAAACAATTGTATTCATGAGTATGATTGTTTGTATCGGTCTGGTTGTTTTCTATGTATAATATGTATGTATTTACAAAAAAATCTATGTATATAGAATAGAATAGAATAGAAAATCATTTATTCAAATAAACTTACATTGAAGCACTTTTGAATAGTCATTACATTTTTTTAATCTACCGCTCATTCGGAAAGCTGTCTCATCACAAGAAGAACGAGCAAGGAACTTGCGTGTTGCTCTTTTAAATAATTGTATTAATACTTTACATTTTTAAGTTTAAGTGTGTGAATACAAACCACCAATTAGCACTAATTCAATTAAATACTCAAATAGAAAAAATATTGAGTATATAACCAACTAATATGTATCAGTTATCTAGTACCCATAACACAAGCTTTAGCTAGCTAAACTTGGGTCTAGATGGCGCTGTGTGAATTGTCCTGAGATTATTATTATTATTATATTATAACATTTTATTAATTTACACTTACACTATCAGTATAAATGTTTTAATTTAATCAATAATTTCAGGAAAAAGCCGAAGCGATCAACAAAGCTCAACAATATTTGAAGCAACACAATTTACCTCCTTGGGTGAGTATTCATTTTCAAAATTATAAAATTATCACTAATTTCCAGTGGACACCGCGTGGAGGTCCACCTGACATGGTACATTGCTGACAATGTGGTCGTAGGTAAGGTAGGGTGAGTCACAACGCGAGCTTCAAAGTGTTTGTCTCCCGGGTCCCCACCAACATGTGACCACCTTCATGAAGGAGGGCTACTGGCTGAAGAGTATGGTGTATCGGCGCTGCCGTGGCAGATTGTCGTCGTCCAATGTATTGAATCCACATTTGTTTGAGTATATATATATTCAAATATTATATATTCAAATATCCTATATGTTCATAAAAATCTTGACTTCTTTCCAAAAAACAGCAATATTCATAATATTAATACTAGATTTAAAGACAAACTTGCTGGCCCCAAGTATCGTTTAGGTCTTTTATGGGAATAGGTATAAAATTTTACAATAAGATACCAAAGGATATATTGGAATTACCCTTAAATAAATTCAAAACATCTGTTAAATCATATTTACTGAGCAAGGCATATTACTCACTAAACGATTACTTGAATGACGAGCGTGCATGGCAATAGTTTTCATGTACGGGATTTTCATTTAATGTCAGACATAGACACCTATATAAATACCTATGCATTATAAATAAACTGGATTTAAAAAATAAAAGTAATTCAATTCAGTTTCTTGCCAGTTCTTCTCAATTGGATCTATATATATACTGAACTGGACGGTAGGGAAAAAAAATATAATGTAAAAACTTGACGTTCATAAGCGGCTAAAATGTCCTACATGAATAAATGATTTTTGAATTTGAATATAAATGTTAAGTGTTGCGTTCACCTCCACGGCCACAGTTGACAATGACTCTGACTACCCCGTCTAAAATAACAGTCGTGAATATATACCTAGCATCTGGTGTAGGGAGGAGAGGGGGGGGGGGGCTGCGGAAAATATAGAAAATAAGGTTTCACAACCATACCAGGAATTATAATTTTGACAAAAATCTGATGGTTTTTTTTTTCAATACGCATAATATTGTAAATGATACAATTCCGAGAGGAGTTTGCTCTGATTATTGTAAACATGTAAAGAATATGAGCTGAGTTTCATGTCAGTTCTTCTCATCTCGAAATCATTCCGAACTGACGGTAGATTTGATATATCATAAGAGTCTGTAATAGACCTACATGAATAAAGATATTTTGAATTTGAATTTGCTTTCAGGTACACGTTTCAAAAGTGCCAGAAGGTATTGAGCCGACAGCCTTCAAACAATACTTCGAAGCTTGGTTTTAATTGGTTTTTTTACTAAATGTATATATATATATATATATATATATATATATATATATATATATATATATATAAATATAAAACCAATTTTTGTTCCTTTTTTTGTATATTCAATTACTGCATTTGTATTGCATTATTGAAATGTTTATAGATCATAGACAAAACGTGATATTTTTTTTTTATAATATAAATAAAGATATATTAAGTTATATAGTGTATTTTTATTTAATTTCATTGTAATACATTCCGCCTACACTTGTAATATTTCAAAACTCGGCACCCTTCCATTTGTTTGCGTCTCCATAACTTTGATTACACCAGTATAAAGTCACGCCTCCAATCGATTCCCGGTGCAATTCAAGCGGTGGTCGAAATTACGACGAGCTATGCCGAGGTTCGAACTCCTACCGTTGCCCAAAGACTGCCGTCGTAACCGTCAGGCAGGAGTTGGCCTTCAGCCGCTCCATAAGTCCTTCCTTTGGTTTGGAGTACCATCTGCACTCGCCACCTATCGTCCGGTGAAGCTGTAAAGGCCAGCTGTGGACAACAGCATTAGAGTAGTACGAAAAAAACACACTTAGAGGTATAAAAAATAGGTAACAATCTATTCTCAACTGGCTAATGGCAATACAAACCGCCGGAGCCAAAAGAAGAGAGAAAAAACCTATTCTCAGACCTATCTCCTACTTCTACCTACCTCTCAGAGTACACATACTAAATTACGTTCAGTAATTTTCGATCACACCGCAGACAAACAACATGACATTTTATATATATAGTTAACATACCACCTTACTTTCCATAGTCGCGGGTTCGATTCCTCGCACGGCACAAACACTTGTATTCATGATTATGATTGTTTGTATCGGTCTGAGTGTTTTCTATGTATATTATACATGTACATACAAAAAAATTATCTAACTATTTCTATCAGTTGTCTAATACCTATAACACAAGCTCTGCTTACCTTAGTACTAGATGACGTTTTGTTTTAATGTGTATGATTGTTTGTATTTGGGAGTTTTCTATGTATAATATGATAATATTTACGAAAAAAATATATCTATGTATTTGTATCAGTTGTCTAGTACCCATAACACAAGCTTTAGCTAACTTAACTTGGGACTAGATGGCGCTGTGAGAATTGTCCTGTGATTATTATTATTATACGGTATACATAATGTATTTTTATTAAGGTGTACATAAAATCTTGAATTTCTACGAACGTGTTATCTGTGTGATTATATGTAGAAATAACATTAGTAAGAAACTCATTTCCAGTAACTAAAACACTACTTTATCGTTAAATATAACAACAACGTTTATATATTATATAAAAATAACAATGTTTGTTCGTTTGTTCACATTTTAAGAGGTGTATGTTGCACCAAGTATAATTTTCTATGTTAAATCCATGACTTTAAAAATATGTATAGTTTCGTAAATACGTACATATTATATATAGAAAACATCCAGACTGATACAAACAATCATACTCATGAATACAAATGTTTGTGCAGTGCGAGGAATCGAACCTGCGGCCATCGAAAGTAAGGCGTTGTGGTAAACCACCAGACCAACGAGGTCATAAGTATATTCAACGAGTACTACTTACTAACAGAGGGATCGATATTACGACGGCCTAAGCCGAGGTTCGAACCCCTAGCGGTGCACTCAGACTAAAGTCGTATCCGTCAGGTGGGAGTTGGCCTTCAGCCGCTCCATAAGTCCTTCCTTTGGTTTGGAGTGCCATCTGCACTCGCCCCCTATCGTCCGGTGAAGCTGTAAAAGCCAGCTGCGGCCCACAAGCAATAGAATTACTAACAGATTGGTCAACATCCTGTTCCATTCCAATAGAATAAGTAATTTAGCAGATAATTGAGTAAAAAAGATGTAAACAGGAAAACATAAATAGCCACACAATGCGAGCATCACCTGGTGATACACTAGTGTACATCATATCTGTGAGTTGACCTATGGCTCTATTTACTATATTTAATACATGTATATATATATATATCATAAACAATAATTGTGACAGTTGTGCTCTGTATTTGACACCCACATAGCATGTTTTTAGTTATAATATTTCGAAGAAAGTGACCAAATATTTGCTAGGTAAGTGTTTTTTTTATATACTGTTTTAAACTTGACGCGGTCATTATTTATACATATAATTAGTAAAAATCACGGGATCTTACCACGTTTTATATTTATTTGCTGAGTTCCCGATATTTCGGTAGTGTTTCGACCACCATGATCACGGGTAAACTGAAGAGCAGCGGGTAGATGGAAAATGAAATCTTTTTATGGGCAGACATATGCGTCTACCTTCACACGTCTTCGTTTGTTGCTACTACTGGAACTCGCTCGATATTCATCTCGGCAAACTGTACTCACAGTATCTTTACGTACATTTAATACACTTTTTGATCGCGTTTTTTGTTTTTGTTTAATTAAACCAATCACTGGATTCCAGGCATTAGAGAGCCTATAGCTGTCTTCTCGATTGAAATTTTTTGTTTTTTTATTAATATCTTGAGGATAAGATACAGAGTAGATTGGCGATATGGCAGCAAAAGCTGGAAAGTGGTGGCTTAAAGATAAGTAATTCCAAAACGGAATACATGTTTTGCGACTTTGGCGGTCTTTCTGGCTCTGCAGCCATTTATTTAGGTTCACTCCTCCAAAGCAATGGCGAATTAGACCGAACCATATAGCACAGGATTAACTCAGGTTGGATGAAGTGGCGGCAGGTTACGGCGACGACGACTCACGAGTTCCCCTTAAACTTAAGGGCAGAATTTACAAGACCATGATCCGGCCTGCTATTTTGTATGGATCAGAGTGCTGGCCCATAAAGGTGACGGATGAGAGACGACTGCATGCAACTGAAATGCGAATGTTGAGATGGATATCTTGAGATGGATGGACTGTGTGAAAGATGATATGGTGAGAAAGGGAGTAAATAACGAATGACTGCGAACAGAGATGAATGGAAGAGAAAAACATATTACGAGGACCACAAATAAATGGGATAAGGAAGAATCGAGACTCTAGAGGTTATATTATTATTTATTTCAGGCCACTAGGCCCATGTTATACATACCTTATAGACTAACATACATATGAAATACCTAATATTTTAAAACTAATCTTAGATATAAAATTCTCGTGTCACAGTTTTCGTTCCCATACTCCTCCGAAACGGCTTGACCGATTCTCATGAAATTTTGTGAGCGTATTGAGTAGGTCTGAGGATCGGCCAACATCTATTTTTCATCCCCCTAAATGTTAAGGGTAGTTCACCCCTAATTTTTTTATTTTTATTTTAAGGTAAAACGTTTGCCGGGACAGCTAGTATAATATATATATATTATTAATCCATACATATGAATAAAATTGGAGTGTCTGTTTGTAATATTGAAATAACCGTTTTATACTACATGCATATGAATATAAATACGGTACATACACCAAAATAACGTTTTTTACAATTTTTATCTGTCTGTCTATTTGTTGCGTCTAATCTCTGACACGGATGGACCGATTTTGTCGGCACATTTTTTGGCAAGTAGCTAATGTAATAAGGAGTAACTTAGGCTACTTTTAATATATGAATAAAAAAGAAACTTTACGAATTAATTAAAACATATCATGTAATAAGCAATACACTTATACAGCCTTGTATTAATTATAAATAAAATTAAATAACTATTATTACAATGATTTTAAAATATAAACGTGTTAGCAATAAGCTCTAAGGTTTTATTAAATTAATTTAATAAATAATTCAATTTCATTGTAAATAATTTCATAAAAAAAGGACTTATATTGATTCAAATATATGAACAACTTTTACCAGTCAACCGAAAAACCTTACATTTCTTTAACAAAGAACCCTAAAAACTCAATTAAATAATACCAGTCCACTTATAAAGATCCAATTAAGTAATAAAAACAATATTGACCCTACATGACCATATTCGACAACCATGTCCGAGTTACGATTGCGTCCATCTTGAATCTTGGCTAGTGTTTCCCGCGCTGTCATTGACTGCGCATGCGTATTACAGTGATTGTGTTGATAAATAAAATAATAACATTACAATAATGTAAGTAATATTTGTTATTAGTTTTTCTATAAAATGTTGATTTATTGAATTAATATTGAAATATTGGGGTTAGTATTAGAGAAATTGTGTTAAGATATATTAAAAACTAGTTTAGAATTGCCGTTCATTTTAGATAAATGACTAGTTTTCTTGTTACCTACATAAGTCTTGATCTCGTTACGGTTTAAAGATTTTGATTTTTGTGATAACTTTCAAAGTATTATATGTTGCTTTATCTTAACATATATATATTATTAGGTGTGATTCGCAACTTGGTCGGCTTGAAATTTACCTCTTTTTTATTAGAATAAATAAACTAAAATTAACCCAATCTTCTAACATTAGCTAACTGCGAATGTAAGTCCCGGCAAAATTATTCCAGTCGTCTCAGAGATCAGCAAGACTAACAGACATACGAACAAAAATATTAAATTATTTATTTGATATTAATACTATAGCATGAGATTTTTCCAGAACCCACGAAGGGTTAATACTGTCTAACATATTGTTATAAATTTTTTCTTATAACTTACGACTTACCCCGTTAACAGGTTCCGGCATGACGTCGACTTCAGGGATGTCCCACCTGTATAAAATAAATAGAATAGAAATCATTTATTCAAATAAACTTATTTTAAGCACTTTTAAATAATCATGACAATGTTTTTAATCTACCGCGCATTCGGAAAACTGTCTCATCACAAGAAACTTGCGTGTTACTCTTTCAAATAATCCTTGTAACTTTACATTTTTAAGTCGAAACGTGTAAATTCAAATTAACAACTAGCATTAATTTATTAGGGACAATTATGCATACACAATAAGACGAAATCAGTCGTAATGATTATAGCAGACCAGTCCCTACAAGCAGCACTCGCTCACGAGTATGACGTATGAGTCAACCATCACTGCGCTCGACCATATTTTAGTATAAAATAAATAAAATTGAAGAGTTTGTTTGTAATTTCAAATTAACAACTCTCAACTAAATGCATATAAAAGTATATACAGTACGTACAACAAACAAAACAAAATATCTACCTATTTGTTCTTGCTAATCTCTAAGGGTCGGCAACGTGCACGTGACACCTCTG